GCCCCGGGCCGGGGCGCGGGAGGGGGGCACGGAGCTTCCTGCCTCGGGGGGCAGGACGGCTCCCCTTTGGGGGCGGAGGCCGGGATCCGGGATGGCTGCTCTTCCGCTTCTTTTCCTGAAAGAACGGCCGTTCTCTTAGGACGAAAAGGTTCCCTGAGACCTCTGTGGTGTCCCTGTCTGGTTTCGCGTTACAGGAAGAGCATAGCTGGGTAAGGAGGGCCGTTCCCAGGGAGGGTAAAGGTCCTGATAGCGGATGAGAGATGGGAACGGGTCTCAGGTAGGCAATACAGATCGTGAAGAGGCTGCACCTAATTCAGCTGAAAAGCTGCATGAGTTCATACAGCAGCAGCTGAGTGATTTGTGCAGGGGAATGTGGCAAAGGAAGCAGCGGAGCTAGGGTTATTGGTGCAAGATGCAAAAGCGAAAACGTGGTGAAATATTCCACCTGCACTGGAATGCAGGTGTTGCAGGCCATGTTTTGGAAGGAGGGAATACTGATGAGTGTTTGGAAATATTATATGCTAATGATAGTTTTATTTTGTAAGGAACAATATCTTAAAATTCTTGTTCTTCAGCTGGCTGGGTAATTAGTCTGATCTCTTTTAAATAAATCAGCCCTGCAGCAATTTAGCGGAGAGAGCAAGTTGGGCTGTGAGCTTCTCTAGAGGTGTTAGGAGCTTGAGGGAATCTCTTTAATTCCCCTACTGTCTTACACTGTGTGTATGCAGTAAAATTGGCATACTGAAAACCAATTTAGGAAAACGTGGAATGAGGGGAGAATTCCTGTTCTAAGAATGAAGTCTGCTGTGGACTCTGAAGGTCTGGTGCTCTTCTGAGATATCTCCTTGATGTTGTTAGATTGAGGTGTTTTTATGGGCTATGAGAAACATTTAATTTCCTGGCTATTGATGTGTGACCAAATGCTACTGCTACTAATAAAGCTGGTTATATATTAGCACATCCATCCTGAAATTTCTACCATAGGTATTCACCAAAACAAATCCAAGAATACTGCTGTATTTTATTACTTGAATAACTGATATTTTGTATAAGAGTGGTAATAGAAAATAAATGTTGATCAGATGATTGCGCTATGGCTTAAGTGAGCATGATTTTGAGTTATTAGCTCTGTAGTGAAGTCAGTGATTTTCAGCGGAGGGCTTAGGTCCTTAGTCTTTAGGACTTAATCCTTTCCTGGGAAAGGCAGAACTGTAGATCACATTGCATGAGAGTTTTGGCCACTTCACAACCCCCTCTCCCCCCCCCCAAATTATTTAAAATTACCTATTTTTTCCTCAGACCTTGTCAACTGCAGGGAAGTATAAACTGGTGATTGCCAGGATTCAAGCTAGATTATGTTTTGCAATGAAAATTAAATAGTAGAAGGATCTTAAAAAGAGAAAAAGGGATGAAGTGAAGTCTTTGTGCAGCAAAAGTGGGAAAGAAATTAGAGTTAATTTTAAGTTGACCTAAATTTCAGCAAATATTCTGATTTAGTTTTCAATATATCTCTGTCTTCTGCATGACTTTTCAAAGGTGGGGTAAACATGAAAGTTACTAGGTCAAATATACGCACAAACTATCCAGTCTACTCAGAGTGGAGGAGTAGTGTGATGTCATCTCACAATGTTGGAAAAACTGTTAAATGAGGTTACAAATCCAGTAGCTTTTGTTCTTAATATATTAATAGAACTATTGAATGGGGGATTGTGCTTTATAATGGGAAAGTGTTAAATGAGAGGCCTGTATTTAGGAAAGAGAGAATTACACTGCAAAAGTGCAGACCTGTTACAGCACATGCTGTTGGTATCTGTTTTCTTTAGAACAGATTTTGAGGAAAAGAAATGACCCCGAGAGAAATAATCAAATATTTGGTGCAAAATGGGATAAAATGCAATGTGGTTTTACCTTGTGATATATGGCTTCATTCTTTCATGAGGATTTCCTAACCAGAGGAAATCCGGATTGAGACTCCGTATTCAGTAGAGTAATTAAACTAGCAATGAGATCCAGTCTGCTAAAATGGAGAAAACAGAATTAATACAGGAATCAGGCTAGTAACTAGCTTGGCTGAAGTCAATGATGGGTTCTGCTAAAACGATTTCTGGAGGCTTCTTCCTAATGTGATTTGTTCAGAATCAACTTTGCGATCGATCCTATGGTTTTGTTATGTGCATATACTATAATTATATTGATTAAAATATTACATAATCACATAATTAATAGTTATGTAGTCTTCCTAGAATAAAAACAGTAGATGGTACTAAAACTTGTTAACGTATTTGGGGAAAAGAAATAAAGCATTGATAACCTTAAACTAAAGTTCGAGAAGTAGAGCGAAGCATAAGAAACTTGAACATTCAAAGGCATCCACTTATGAACTGCTAACAAGAATTTGTGTTCAGCTTTGTTTGAAATAATGAGATATATATCTGAATGTATTAGTGAATTACAGGATGACTAAGGGCTGTCAGTGTGAGTTCAATTAATTTGCCTTCCATAGCTGCAATGGGTGAGGTGCTTGCAATAAAATTAAAAGTATTAATGCAGTTATACAAGGCTTTCATAATACCTTATGACTGCACTTGTGAACTTATTGAACATGAATTACCTGACGGTTGAGTTCAGTGGGAGGAAGGTTATGACCAGGAGGTAGGAGTGTCTGTTATTTAAAAAAAAAAAAAAAAAAAAAAAAAAAAAAAAGAGAGAGAAGATTAAAACAAAAACTCTTAGTTTTCCTAAATGTTGGTATGATTGTTTTTTATAACCACTTTGAAAAGGGAATGGATAAACATGAGGAAAGAGTCTGTTTAAAATAGTAGACGATGTGAGCACGAGAACGTATGGGAATCTCGATAACCTTTGATTAAACTTACGTTTGATGCCAGAAGAAAGGTCTGACAGCCAGAAGAATTCTTCCTCACACTTGTCTTTTCCACTGCTGCTTCCAGTTAGTTTTAGAATTAGATTTGATTGTATAGTAAATGAGAATTTATGACGTAGTTGCTTTGGATATTGAAAGACAATATTTAATTGACTCAAACTCTCCTGTTTTTTCTCCTTTTCTGCCAGTTGTCAGGGAAAGTAGTTGTTGTGACAGCATCCTTGGAAAGGTAAGTTGAGTACGTTATGATGAGGAGGCATAATATCTAAAATTAGCAGTGAAGACACTGGAGGACAAAACTCTGAAGAGAGAGTGAAATTTATCAAGCGCCCCTGTCACAAAATGGACTTTTAAAATACTTTTCTAATTCTTGTGAAATTAGAGGGCTGTTCACTGTAAAAAGCTTGAGCTTGAAAAATTTGCTGGTAGTTCCTATGGAGATTTTGAATTTATTTGGCTCCTCTGACTTAGCCAAGTATTCATTATAGATGAACTACAGTGATACAGTTTGTGAGCCTAGAGACAATGACTTTCCATTTCCTGGAGGCAGCAAACTGAAAGCGATACTTAGCTGACGTGGTTCTGAGGAGCATGGAGTATGTTGAGACTGCAGAACTGTGTCCCTTTAAGTAGATTCCTATGGAGTGCTGCGGGGCTCTGGACTTTGTCCATACAGAAGGATAAACAGTGGTCAAAGCTAGCACCTACTGTGATGTGTGTATGCGGCCCTTTTGCTCTAAAAGGGTAGCAGGAGTCGGTAATAGATGAAGATATTTCTCTCTGAAAAACAGACTGATCATGACTGGAATCATCGAAAACCTAGGGATTCCTGAGGGAGAGGTGCAAAATAATGGACGTTTAGGAGACTGGGAGCCTTGCCTGTTTTAGGCATGGTGCACTGTATAGTGTGTGGGGTTTCTGCTGTCGACTATGGGAATTCTGTTTTTCACTGCTACATTGGAGTGTCTTTAAGCCTTTAAAAAGGATAAAAATGAGTACAGCTTTTCTGACATACAGGTGAGCATTGCAACACAGTAGGGAGAGATGCTTCTTTTAGGATTTCTGTATAGCCAATGTGTTTGTTGAATTTAATATTTTATTTTTGTGTGTACATGCATGTATACACCATTATTAGTAAGGCAAGATATACCAGTACAAAATTATAATCTGTTCTTAACAGCTGGAGACTGGGTATGTTTTACCATTATTAAATCAAACCCTTAAAATCTGGGAGGTAAACAAAGTAAAATAATTCAGGCTCTCAGTAGCCTAGAAAAGAATCAGGTAAACATCATCTTGGAATTCATTTGCATTTGACATTTGGAAATATTTTGAAAAGCATTCTGCTCTCCTTCAGAGCATGAGGTGGGGCAGAATGGGAATCTGCTTGATACTGTGAAGAATTTCATGTAATCCTGCTTTTACTAGGTCAACTCCTGGCCCAAGTGTGGATTAGGATTTCAAGCTATAGAAATCTATGTAGTGATCTGTTTGCTGTTAGAGTCTCTGCATCCTGGAATTCATTTAAATTGTGTTCCTTGCAAGTAAAATGTTTTGTATTCAATTACCTCCCATGGTGCTAATGACTGATACTTGGAAAGTTCTATGAAGAGCAAAGCTGTATTACTGCCAAGTATTAGTAAGAAATGGGAAAACATTATTCTCAAGATATTTAATATATTAAATCCTAAAGCTGTTCTATAACTTACATTAAATGGCAATAAACAATGGAAGTGATTTCTGGAAACCATTCTTTTTTACAGTATGTGAGGGTGTGCAAACCTTTGAAAGAAAACTTCAGCAGTGCCCACTATTCAGACTCATGCTTATGAGCAGTGAACGTAATTACTTTTAGTAGAACCTAGTCCTATATCCTGTGAACAGTGTGTTGCTTTTTTCTGAAGACAGGAACGTTTAATGCAAGCACTATTACTTGTGTTCATTTAAAGGTTTTACTTCTGGAAGTAAAGATAAGAATCTCTCCAAATAGACTTTTTCACATTGTTTGAATCATTCTGAAAATTTTATAAAATGTAGTATGCTTTGTCACAGGCAAAATATTAGCGAAACCTTTCTCATGGTGAGATATGTGTGTTAAGTGGGTTTTTAAAGCTTGCTATAAATAGGTTGACATGGACATCAGTTCTGTTTATATACATCAACTTGTCCGTATATTACTTGGAATATGTTAGTGGGAAATTTTTGATAAGAATTGGAGCTCCAGGTAGATCAAAATTCTGTGAGGTCTTTCAGAATGACAGCTCTCTGGCACTTGCACTAGCGCATGCAAATGTAACTTGTTGGAAAGGGAGAGGCTAAACAGCATAAAACACAGGCTCATGTTCCTAGCTGGCCTCCAGTAAGCCATTTTGCAAGCCCCTCTGGGATGGCCAGATTTGAGGAGTGGAACTTGTGGAATAATCTGATACACGTATTGTTTCAGAAAGCATTTCTCTATCACTTACAGTTCGTATTCTTAAAAAAACCTCCAATAATACTGGAGAAACTAAATTTTGATTCCTATCACAAAACAGTAAAACTAAAAGGTTACAACTATAGTCATAGTTTCTTACAGATATAGCCAGTTCCCCTTTGTTTAAAGTCTTCTAAGGTTTTATTTCCATGATTTTACTATCCTAACAGAATTCCTCAAGGAGAAAAAAGTATTTGTGCGTATGCTATCTCTGGTGGATTGGGTTTTTGTTGTTGTGGGGTTTTGTAGTTTTCGTTTTGTTTTGTTTTCTGTTTGTTTTTTGCTTGCTTGTTTTGTTTTTGTCTCCTGACACCACAACAAAGAGCTGAGTGAAGTGTGTGTTTGACCATGACCTTGAGCGAACTGCTGATCTTACACTATTTAACAGCCAGGTTTTATTCTTGTATGAGCTTATATATTTTATTAGCCTCTTAATAGGGGCTGAGCAAGTGATGAAGGTAGAACTTCACATTTATTTTTTTATTTGGAAATAGTTCAGAAAGCTTTTGCTTTGTAGAGATAAGCTTTTCTTCTGGGTTTTTTTATTTTGTTGATTTTGGTTTTTAGGCTGTGCTTATTTATTTACATATCTTTAGTAATGCTGTTCTCGTTTTTTTTAACGTGTCTTCCCCGCGTCTAACTAACTTGCTTCAGTTAGTAGCGTGTATATTGCAGCTTAGCTTTTGAGAGTTCCTGAGGCTATCCAATACAGAAGTCATAGCACTTTTCTTATGTGTTAGGAAGTTATAGCGTGTAGTTCTACAGATTGAGATCTGAAACCTTTTGAAATATGTGGTAAAAAGAATATTCAGTAAGCACAGGAAACAGATGGCTATTTACTGACTATTTACTGACTAAATCATTAAAATTCTTTTGAGTTAGCTCATGTCTTAGCTTTTTATAGCTATTTTTATAGATTTTTTTCTTTATTTTTTGCCTCACTCATCTGTAGTGGTTTTTATTTTTTTGCATTTTTCAAAGATTAAACTGTATATTTTTGGGGAACAACTGTAATTATGTACTTTTTGACGGGAGAAAAATAAAAGCTATTTATAATACAACATGCTAAGATGTTTCCTTTCAGGTCATGACTGACTAGCATAACAAGATCCCTTAGGAATCCTAAGGGTCTGTTTCTAGAGTGTGGAAGAAGCAAAGTCAGTTTCAAGAGTAATGCTGCTTTCCAAAAACAAAAATGCCCCTTTAAAGGGGAGGAGGAGGGTGATCTGAAAATATCAACAACAACTTGTTTTATGAAGTGTGTGCACTATGCTCTTATGGCAGTCTTAAATAGTAAAATTTTAAATCAGTGTAGTTATTGCATTTACTCTCAGCATTTATTTGAAAATGGTGTCAGTCTGAAGTCTTGGGGTTTTTTTCGTGTTGCTAGGTGTGAATACAATGGTCACTTGAATCAAGAACTTGGAAGAGCTTGAATTCTTGTAAAGCTCAAATAAGTGCACTTTTTTGTGGTCATTTTTAGTATAATATGATGTGTGGATATTGTTGATTCTTTATGTTAATAGACATAATGAAAGATACAATATGAATAGTTGACAGTACATACAGCATGGATATCATGGTGATTTTTGGTTCTTAACTCAAACTGTTGAGCTTCCTGATCAGAGAAACAGGTTCTGTGTAAGAATTTTTTTATTGTTGTTCATTGCAGCAAACAGTCTGAAAATCACACCGCTCTTTCTGAATATCTTGCTTACTTCATGTAAGCGTAAGTAACATGTCCCTCCCCACCCCTGCAACAGTGTTCTGTCATCAGATCTGCTCTTAAAGGGATAAGCTGAGAAGAAATTATCTTATTTGGGCACCTCTCAGGAGAGACAGATTTTTATTTTGTAGGCTGTTCATCTTCACTTAGTATGAAGTAAAGTTAGTCAAAATATCTGGTACCAGATCTTTCAGTAATTATCGTCTTTTGCATTGAAATCTAAAAAAGGTGTATGATAAGCCTCTTTGAATACTGTGGAGACTGGCATGCTTGTCTTCTAGATAGCATGGGATGCTAACTTAGCAGTATCAGAAATCTAGAGTTCAGTAATACTGTAAGCTAAATGAGATCTTTCGAGTAAAATCTTCAGTGTAACTGTTCCTCTCAGAAGGTGCAGGTTAAGTATATATCTGCATTTGTAAATCGATATTTGTACCTTCTTAGTCTTTACTTGGAGAGTCTTGCACTTTTGAAAGCTTATAAAGGCAGTAAATTTTAGTTAGCAAAACACATAATAAATATGGTCCTGTCTTCTGATGATGTCCCCTGTTTTTCCTTATTGCCATCTCCTGTTGGAACTGATGAGAGCAAGCAATAGGCAGTGTATGATGCTGAATATCAGGAGCTATAGGAGGGCGTGAGGATAAAGATGCATTCTATGTACAAGGTCACACAATCTGCTGCTTTCCTGAAGAGATTATTGGTAAGATGTGACTTTAATGAAATCTGAGTCTAGCATTCAGAGAGAAGGAGATGTGTTGCCTTGAGAAAATGAACTCTTGGCTTTTGAGGGGATGGGTGAGAAGACTTGCAGGTCACCTTGTGCATGGAGTGTAAATATTATAGGGAAAAGGAAACAGTAGGAAACAAGATTAAACTTAGTCTTTTCAAGGTTCTTTTTACTTAAGTATCAGGTGGAACAGGCTAAGGGAAGTTTAGAGCAATTGTTTAGTTAGAATATGTAAAACTGCGTGCAAAATATCTTTTTGTCTCCTGGAGATTACCAATAAAAGGATTTCAATTTTGGTTTTCTTATCTTTTCCCACTGCTTCACCTCTATTGATGTCTATTTAATATTGATGAGCTGTCACAGTTTTTATCGTATTGTCTAACTAGCTTGGAGCAAATTGAGACAAACATAAGAGTACCGGTATTCAGCTGTAGATGTACTATAGCTCTTTATAATGTTGTGGTCCATGTAGCTTTTCCATTCCTAGAAACATTGAGAGAAATTGGACCACATGGATAAGCTCCAGGGCAGTTAATTCCTCTGCCATTTAGTATCACTAAACAAACAGAAATGTAGTCTAAACTTAAATATACAGTTGAGGCACTGATTGTGGCTGGGGGGGGTTTCCCCACGGATGCGTGTATTTTCTGCAGCTTTCTGCTAATCAGCTCAGTTCTCTGTCAAAATAACTATTTCCTGCAATACAAGCTGTCTTCATTCCATTCATTTCTTTTGTTAGTTCTATGGGTTTGTTAACTGATCATCAGGAGCCTAGGAACTTGTTCAGGAATAAAATCTACCACTGATAATAGAAAAGTCGCTAGTTTGTTTAAGGATGGGGGGAAGTTACCAGGTACTGTACAGCATTGTTTTAGTGTTTCATGTAAATTCAAACTATCTTGATTTTTCCCATCTAAATCACAATGAATGAAGAAAGAGGGGATGGGGGGTGCAAAACCCTGAACCTTTTCATGAAAACTAATAACATTAAGGAAAATGCTGTTGGGGCATCTCCCTTAAGGCCTCTAGTTCAAGAAAGTATACAGAGTTCTTTAAATGTGTAATTTTCTTATTGAATGTTTTGCTGGGCCTAAATGATATGAGTTGTAACAAAAACTCAATCCAATGAGTATTTTGCATTTGTCCTACAGGTGTATTTGTATACCTGCAGTATTTACACCCTGCAGTATTTCTGAAGGTTTTCATACTTGATACTCCTGGTGAATTTATCTTTGTGAAAATTTTATTCTCACCTGTCTTTTTAAACAGCTGTCATGGAGGAGTTGGTAGAAGATGACATCTGTATTTTGAACCATGAAAAAGCAGACAACAGTCATAAGAGAGGTGGGGAGATTCCTGTTTCATCGTATAGTGGAGATGAGTCTGTTGCCTCACACTTTGCTCTTGTCACTGCATACGAAGATATCAAGAAACGGCTAAAGGAGACAGAGAAGGAGAACTCCTTCTTAAAGAAAAGAGTGAGAATTCTGGAAGAGAAGGTAATATAAAGTGCAGTTGACCACCTTCTGGTAGCAGCTACTTTTGCTCTCATATTTGGATGGCAGAGCAGATATTAAGTATTTAAAATATATATTGAAAATTATTTTCAAGTTAAAAAAAATTATGGTAAATTATCTTATCTACTTAAATGAAACACAGTTTTTTTTCCCTCTGGTAGTCTAGTTATGTCACATTGGATTTTTTTGATTCTTACCGTGTGCGTATGATCTAGTGCAGTAGTGCCATGCAAAGATACCAGTTTGATTTGGAAGGAAGTGTAGTCACATTAGATCATTACTGCATCTCATCTCCCTCTTCAAAGTATTTATTATCTTGAGGTCATCTAGCCTAGTGTTGTTGAACAGTGAAGTGCCAAGTCCATAGATTGCCAGAATCCATAAATAGTCTAATAAAAGAATCTCTTGTAGTGAACATACTGACATCATCAGGAAAAATTGGTTGGTAGAGAATATCTAACTAGGCTAATAGCTAGCTAGCTAATAGCCAGCTCAAACATGAAATACAACGTTAAAATGCTTAATGTGGAAGTGTTGACTGACTATTATTTGATGCAGTAGTTCTATAACCGAAATATCCTATAGTTAGAAGTGAGAAGAGTGTTAGGACTGAGTCCTTAGTATGTACTACTGACTCTTAAAAACTTTAAAAGCCTAAATATGTGTGTATTGTTTGTTGGCCTTAGAATGAAGAATTTGAGCCATGCTTAGCTTATTTTTGACATACTTATGCTGGAATTCTTGGTGACCGATTTGACAGAATTTACTTTGCCCAACACTTGCTGTGCTCTTCCTGTATATAAGGTCCTGTGGAGATGCTGGGGATAGGAATGAATGTCTAGACTGCATATTCTCTGAACCGTTCTGAATGTGATTTTATACGACTATTCAAAATCACAATAAACAAGACTTGATGACCTTGGCAGTCCCTTTCAGTCCTATGTCCTTTGGTTTTGCCTGGTTCACCTTAATTGTCTTGAAAAGGATACTTTGGTTTCCATCCAAAAAAGTTTTAGTTTTGGTATGTGAATACCATTAAAAACGTATCTGTGAGAGAGTGGCTCTGAGATGGCCTGGACTGTTAGGCAACAGAACTGAAGTTCCAGTCTTTGTTAATGTTTAGTATACCGGTATGATAAGAAATACGTGGAGTGTTACCTCTTCTGACTTTTACATTCCAGAATGTATGGAAACTCCCAGATGATTTGGTAAGGTTTACATTCTATCCGAACTCCATTCGTATATGGCTTTTATTTGGAAGGAAAAACTTAAAGGGTTTTTGGGGAGGGGGGAGAGAGTTGGCTTATAGCATGAAATCTATAGTAATAGTGCGTATACTTTGAGGGCCGTTATAAAGAGCAAGGGGCAGAAACTTCCTATTTTTATGACTTGCTTTCCTGTGCTTTTTGTGGTTTTGAGTAAAAACCTGAGAGAGCAAATATTCAAGGTAGATGCAAAATCAGAGAGTTGACAGAATTTTTTTTTTGTATGGCTCTTCATTTTTGAGAAAGTTTATGAATCAGTTCGCATATATTTGCATTAGGTACTCTTGAATGCCTTTAAACCTCCTCTGTACTTTTAAAGCAAGTGTGCAGGATAAACAGAATGAACAGTAACTTTTTGCATAGACAGATGTAATTCGGAGTCTTACAGACTTCTTGCTGTTTTAATAAAAATACAGAATATCTTGTTCTGCTGCCCTCTTTCATGATAGTCTAGTAGGTAGTGCTTATTCCGCCCTGCCCCTCTTGCCTCAGCAACTGCACCTTCAATGAGATAGTGGGGGGATTTGGAAGTTGATACAATTTTTTTGTAAAAATAATTTTGCTTTGGCTTTTCTTATAAAAAAAATATACTGAAAAAAAATCAATGTTTTATTAGAGACCTTTGTCTCATTAGTAAAAATTTTATTCACAGTTTGCGCTGAACTTTGTATGTGTTGTGTTTTTTAGATGCTTAAAACTCTTTTTCCAAAAAACAATTTGTGCATCTTTAAAAACTTGGCAAAAATATGATTAAGGAGTTGTTCGTGTGAGTAGTCTTGATCTGTGGATGATTTTTAAATATTCCTAGCAAGAGCTAAGCACGGTTAGAGATCTATAGAATTTGCAGGCAGCTTTCACTGCACTTACGTAAAGTTTTGGTCCATATCAATGTATTTAGTTTTTCTTTTTTGGAAAATAAATTCATTAGTTTAATGTTGCAGACTGTAAATTAGTAATAACTAGCTGCATTTGCTGAATTTTGCTATTCTGAATATAACATAGGAAAGCTCTTATTTCTTTTATTTGTTAAACTTTTAGCTCCTTGGCTCCCGACTAGAAGAGGAGTGCAGTTCAGTTGGTCGTGAACAAGTAAATAAGGCTTACCAAGCCTATCGAGAGGCCTGCATTGACCGAGATAACCTGAAAAGCAAACTGGATAAAATGGTATCACTATTTAAGTAATGACTTGAATGCATGTTATGAAAGTACAGCACAGTTAGTAAATGTTTACTGAAGAATATATTGCTGAAGATCAGTGGTATTTGTTTTATCACTCAATTTGTTTTTTAAAAGTACGTGGTGATATTTTATGTAAGAATAACAATGGTTTCAAGTATCTCAGTTTCATTACTGGGCTTGGCTAATACTAGAAAGACATCTCAAATCAATGAAAGAATTTTTTTTTTTTAAAGTTGAATTGTCAGACATGATAGAGAAAATCTTCACCTTTTTTTTTTTCTGAAAACAGATGAAGGAAACTTCAGAATCCCTGAAAATCTTGAATGAGCAGTTGCAATCTAAAGAGGTAGAGCTCTTACAACTAAGAACCGAAGTGGAAACTCAACAAGGTACATATTTGGTTATTCCATCTTAATATACCTTAACTACTTTTAGTGGTTATGCAGCAAACTCGGCACATTAGGAGGTTTCAGCCTATACATATAGGGAGAGATGTATACTGTAATGAGAAACTTCAAGCTTGTATATGTTTGTTCGGCCATATGGTGGCATGCATGTTAGATTGTTGTAGGCAAGGGGCTCCGTGGTAAAGATCTGAGGCTGTTGTGATTTTCCACTCCAGGTTATTATAATAATTTGAAAGGTGTGCAACCTTAGAATTCAATAGGCTAGTCATGTACATCTAGAAGTAACTGTTCAGTAAGCTTAAATTTTTGCGGTAGCAGAATGTATGTATCTAGGTACATCTCTAATTAAGAGAAAGTACTAACAAAACCACTAATGCTCTATAATGCTTTAATATAGGTCTATTGCTTGTTTCTTTGATGAACGTAATCCATTGTCTAGTTTGCAGGCTGAGCCTGGATCTGTCTTGACCTCACCACCGTTGTCCCAGAGCAGGGCGGGGGGGGATACTTGCTCAAATATAAAATACAAGCCTGTCTTTGCCACTACCTCTGGTGCCGCATAATCTAGCATAGTGCTATGTCTCATTGTTGGGATATGACAAGTACAAGAAGATAGGGCAGTAGCTGTGAGGGACAAGGGCTAGAGGTTGCGGAAGAGGAGAGAGATTCAGGTTGGCAGCCCCTCTGCTGGAAAGAGGAAGGAAGAACAAACATGGTGTGTGCTGGTGGTTCCCAAAGCCCAAATACAAGTCCTGTTACTGAAATTGTTTGAGCACTGCGTAGATGTAAAATAAAACATTATAATAGTACATTAATAACAACTTTTTATATAAAAAAGAGAACGAGAATATGCCATCTGCATGTGTAAAGTTAGAGGTGTGAAAATATATAACCTGGACTTCAGTTTCTGTAGAAACGCTATAAGTTGAAAGATGCTTTTAAGTCTTACTCTGCTTGAATTGCATTACTTTTCATGAAGACCTGAAGCCTATAATGTGCTACTTCCACTGCATGATTTTTTTAAACCTACAGTAACAAACCACACTTAGCAGTAGTACCACTGTTGAGGACATCACGGTGTAAGGATTTTAAGTGCTGAGTTTACAAAGAGAGCTCTGAAAACATGGTGATTTCAAGCCTTATTTAGTAATCGATTTTAATCTAAGTGGGCTTTGAACTATAGCTCTGATTACTTAAGAAAAATCTGTGTAGCTTAGGCTTGTTTAAATTGTTAAATCTTGCAGTGTATGTACTATGGAGTTGAAAATTTGGGGGATTTCTTCCTATTATGTTCTTTTTTTCCCCTCTACTGCTGACATGTTGTTAGGATCATTTTATGTTACTTCTCAGTAGTGTGCATGGGATTTTTTTTTTCTTTCTTCTATCTAATATGAAGGCATATGTAACCTCAAGACTTTAGCCTTTAGCCTTTTGTTTTGATAGTATTTTTTGCTGTTCTGTTTGGAACTGCTTGTTTTTCCAAAATGGGAAAAAAACTTAGGGTAAATCCAGTAACACTATAAATGTAGAGCAAAAAGGCTTATGTCTTCAAAATATATAAGTGAGAAAGTTAGTATATATGCAGAGAGTTCACCAGCAATTGAATTTTTTATTTCTCAGTGCCTTTTTATGTTAACATTTTTTTTTCTTTATAAAATAGCCACAACATTCCTGGAAAGTAGGGCTCTGTGCTTTGAACTCAGAAAATAATTTTTCTTTTTCTTTCTTTCTTTCTTTTTTTTTTTTGGGGGGGGGCGCCAACATCTTCACTGGTATTACTATTCTTTTGCTGTTGCAGACTGATTTCAGTTTCTTCGGAATGTACAGGATGGGGTTTTTGTAGGGCATAAGCTGATTAACGGAAGCTGTTTAGGAAAGGAGAGGTGAAACTTTTATGTTGAGTCACATTTCTTGAACTGAGACTGAAATCTGATCGTCTTGCTTGTCTCCATACAGTGATGAAAAATTTGAATAGTACTCAGTCTAGCTGGGAAATAGAGAAGCTGAACAGTGACCTGAAAGTGCACAGTCTGGAAAAGGATTTAGAAAAGCTCAAGAAAGAGTGCAATGGTCTCAGAAAGGAGCTGCAAAAATCCAAGCAGAAGGTATCTTTATTTTTAAGGAACTTTTCTTAATAACACTTGACTGTGTAATAATACTGTCTTAAATCCCTTCTTCAGGCAAAATAGAAGGTAAACAAGTAAGTATGTAATTGAGTGAAAAATGACCATCTTAGTAAAATTAAGCTTAGCTTCTTGGAAGTAGTGTACTTACATAAGTTAGATTTCCCAGCAGTTGCCATTATAAGTGACAGAAAACAAAACTTTACAATTTCCTGTAAGTAGCCATTCAGACTGAAGTGTTCTGTGTTGGTATATGTCTTGGGCCGAGCTTTTTAAAGGAATGACAAAATGCTTATCTTAAAAGATCTCATGAACTTTGTTTAAGGAGCTCTAGCACTTTTCTTTGGGGTAGTGGCATGAAGCTTGTCAGGGAAGTGATTTCTTTGTAATGAGATTTATTCTTTAACCAGGGGCAGGGGATCCCTGCAACTTTGGTCAAGTTCAGACATGGTCAGTGTAGTGCTTTTTGGTTTTTTTTCTTCTTTCCTCTTAGCACATGAAAAATTTAAGATTCTATCTGCATAAGTATCTCTCCTGTTGTCGAATAGTTTTTAGGTATGGTATATCTGCAAGGCTAATTGAGCCTACTCTTTCTCACGGTTATAGGGGGACAAAGCTGGCATTTTGTAAACTGATTATACTGGACCAGGATAGAGATGGGAACTGGAGGACCGGTAGTTGGGATCTTACCTTAAGATATCCACGGGAAACAGCTGAAACAGCAGAACGATATAGTAGGATTTGAATGTCTGAGGCTAGCACTGACAGCGGCAGTGGGAGAAGGAGAATTGGGAGTAGAGAGAACAAGAAAATGTAACTGACTAGAAGGGGACGGAACTAGTTGTGCAAGTAGGTTATGAGGGTGTTGAGGGAACCAGTAAAATTTTCCAGTTGGTCTCTGTCTTATCACTGACTCCTCATCCAGAGACTGAGAGAGATCTGTGAAGCCTGAAACTAGATGAAAAATTCAGGATGAGAAGGCAGGAATTGTGGAGTGGAGTTGATAAGTGGGATAATAATACGTAGGAGGAGATCTGAGATGAAACAGACAAGTATATTTTAAGAGTAAAATCAGTATCTGATTTTTTTGCCCCTGTTCACTCCCTTAGGTCTTGGGATAGGACAGTGAAAAGGAGATATAGTGGTGCTGGTGGAGGGAGGGTGGCTTATGGAAGAAGATGGAGAAAATGCAGCATTAAAAAATACGGTTGCTACAGCACACTTCCCATTTAGGACCTGGAATGAAACACGTGGTTCCAGAGTCTTGCCATATGTCTTTTGGTGCCCTTCCCTGGTGCTTCTGGAGCACTTACCTGTTTTCAGAAACCTAGAGTATAAGGTGGATATGGTTAGGATCTCAAAAAGGAATGTCAGGATAGTTTAACAGTAATAAAATGCATTAAAGTAAGTTATAAAAACGTTGTCTAGTGCATGCCTACTGTCTTGCACCTTAGCTTTGATAGAAGGTACGATGGCAGTCTCTAGGACTCTGCAGTCATATTGAAGTTGCACAGTATGTCTGAAAGTTGTAAATATGATTGTTTTAGGGAGGCAGGCTAATTTATCATTACCAATAGTCTAAGTTCCTTATGGTTGTTAATCATTCTGATTATCAGATTTTGATTCATGTAGTATTTCTGAATGAGTCAATATTTAGGGTGTGAAGGACTCTCAAATAGAATCCTTGCATGGCCATCATCCTTCCTGCAAACGGGATTTGGTTTAATGTGGGAATGTTTATTTGACTCTCTTTCTTATGGACACATTTGAATTACTGCAGAAATATACTTTTGAAGCAAATTGCATAATCATTGCTGCCTACTGTGCCTTGTATTATGGAACAGTCAGGAGTATGGGAACTGGATTCCTTTTGGATGAAACTATCAAGGTGCACCCCAACTGACAACGGGGCATTCAGAGACCAGATTAGAGCTAGCCTGAAGTGATGTTCGTTTCCTTAGGTGCTCTCAAAGCATACGTAGTTGGAGCCTTGCGTCCTTAGCCCTGAGTGTGTCTCCACGGATCTGTCGCTCTCATACTCCGCTCCTAGCTCACATGGACACGTTTACACGTGGACGTGCTTAACTGCATCAAATGTCTTGTCTCAGGTTTAGTCTGTGTTTTTTCCACTAGGTGGGGATAAAGCCCATTACCTGGGCATGAGAGGTGTTTTATTAACTTTCATTACTGTTAGCTCTTTTCACTTGCATCTAGGATTCTTAATGGTATTTTCAGTAACTTGTAAATTTTGAAGACTTACTGTAACTTGTATGCAGTGTTGGTGTCTCCAGGTAATTTTACAGAATAGGGTAAAAGCCCTATAAATAATTAAGGATTGCAGATTGTATTGTAAGAATGAATGTTACAAGGAGCAAGAGACTTAAATGGCATTTGTAAAGAATACTAACCATGACAGTTATGATAGTAGCGTTTGTTGTAAAGAAGAAATTGAAGGACGAGCTTTTTTTTTTTGTATATCATTTCTCTTTGATCCTGGTAACTGGTCAATATAGAAAAAAATGAACAAGCTTTCCAAAGTGAGGTAATGTAGTACAGCTGGTAGTTTTTGAACTATGAAATTCATTCTTTGACAGATGGTAGGAAGATCTTAAAAAAGCAGAGGAGTTATCAGGTGAAATGCATAGAAATGTGACCAATGGGCAATGACAGGTCAGCATTGTTTCAAACCCAGCTGCTATTTTCCTTTTTATTGTTTTTAATTAAATTAATATTTTCAGGGACTTTCTATTTTAGACGCTCTTATTCAGGTTTTGCATTGTAGCTGATACAGTCTGCGTGCTATACTGGCAAGTTAAAATTTAAATTAAATAGAGCATCATGAAACCACAGTAACACTTCAAATTCAAGTAACAGCATTGGTTAGAGAAAAAGGTGTAGTAGGAAGGGAAAAGCAAGAAAATTGATGTGAATGAAAACTTAAAATAGAAGCTTCACAAAGATAGCGATCACTAAAGTAAGCACAATGTCTAGTTTGTTAAACAGTCCTGTTGACTTCAGTGAGACTGCTTGTATATATCACTTCAAGCAGTCTTGTAGACTTAAGGGAGAAATAATGTTCTAGCATAAAAATAGTTTGTGGAATTAAATCTATACTGAAACAGTTTGTTCTAAACTGTTCTATAAAGATCTTGTTAAAAGATCTTTATATTCTAGGGCAGGGAAA